ATTTTTTAGAAACAAAAACATAACCAGATACTGTTAACCAGGAAACCTGATTTACTGTGATTATAACAATTTTGTTTCTAACAATTCACATTAGAGAACAACAGTCCTTGAATTCAGTTCTTTGGAAATTAAGGGGCTAACACACACAAATTTCAAGGGTCTTTCACCCAAGATATCATTTTGAAGCAATTTATAATTATTTTTTTTTGTATTCTGTGACTCGTACGTGTGAGAAAATAAGTTAACAACTACAGCTACATAGAAGTTCAGACAAACTGTACTGCTACTGTGAATGAAATTTGATGTGTATGACAAAATAAAAGATCTGTCACTGCCTTAGGCACTTCATAGTTCTTACTTTTGGTACTTCAAAAATGTTTCACAGATCACAAATTCTCTACAGCTATCTTCCTTATTTCATATAACTTAATATTTTGTTTACAATACATCTTTTAGTTAACATCTCTATTGTACAGAATAAGTAGTAAAGATATAAAATCAAATGGAAAAACAACCTAGCTACAGATATTATAAGAAAACATTCAAAAATCAAGAAAGTTAAGCCTATCTTACTGTTCACTGGAAACCAAGCCTATTAAAGGGGTGGATGCAAGATTGAATAAAATATTCTTTATATGAGGCATTATGGGAAATGTGAGATAGTCCCCTGTAGTTCATGCATCCTTTTAGGGTTGTAAGTCATTACAAATATAAGCTTCAGCTGCTAGAGAATGGAGATGAAACATTTATCTCTTAATGGTTTAATCACTTTCTATTGATTTGTGCCCTCCCCTTTAATATTACTGAAAGCTAAGCCTATCTTACTGTGCACTGAAAGCTAAGCCTATCTTACTGTGCACTGTTGACCAGAGTACACTCATCAATGTAAAGACAGAAACTGAAAGAGAAGAACAGTTCTAGACAGGCATGCTTTTCTTCCTGGGTTTGAGAATATTTATGGGAAGTGACTACTGACAAAAAATGAACTATCACATTTCATCTTCTTGAAACTTACAGTCGAACAATAAAAATAACACCAACACTAACAACAATTTTATAATTTACTTCAACAAATTGAGAGTGGGTGGACAAAAAATTAAAAAAGAGTATTACTACTAACTTATTCATGAAAACTGAAACATGGATATATATATATATGGATTTATTTTGTTCTGTTAATATCATAAGGAATATTTAATAATGTGCACTTTCTATATGAAGATATTCAATCTGAGATAAAAATGGACATAATAAAAACCTAAGGATGAGTCATAAACAAGAAAGTCTCAAAAAGGAACATCAGTAACAACTTTTGTTTTTTATATTTTCACATTTTCTCATGTTTCCAAGTACAGAATTCTTGAGTCAACGGCAACCTTTACAGCTTTTTCTTCATTTCAAGAGGAGAAACTGAAACAAAAGTGCAATAAAAATCAGCAAAATAAAAAAATGTAGCTTGTAAATAAACAAATCTTTCATAAAAAAAAGCCACTAATTAAAAAATAAGTGTATAAAAAAAACTGGAAAAAGAAAGAAATAGCAATTCTAGAAAAAAAAAAAAGGGGGGGGGGGGTCTTTTGGAAATACGTGCAATATCTTTTAACATTGTTTGTATATTATTTATTCAATAAATGAACACTCCTTAAATAATAAATACTGATTAAAATTTTGGCATGAAACTCACTTTAGTGGACCTACAAGACAAATTTTTTTTTAGGTATTCCGTTAAGGATGCAAAACAAAAATAAATATTTTAAGCATACCACTCCAACTTTCCATCACACAATTACTGTTACATTGAAGTTAATTATTTATCTGTAACAACTGAACCAAAACAATAGATATAAATGATTAGAACCTTTTTCTCTACTCTTACATAAATATCAACAGTTTATTTTTAAACTACAAAAACGAACTCAATAAATAATGTTTAGTGCAAGGTTTAACTGGACTTTGCCTTTTCTTTCCATTAAAGTCACAAAAAAACTCAATTTTTTTGTGATCTTTAGGAACTATTAATCTAATTAGTTAAATATTAAAAAATGGCCTTTTGATTCCATCATAAGCCTGATTTAAAAAAAACAAGAAAACTACAGATAATTAATTATCAAAATAATAAATAAACGGTTTAGAGAGTATTTATGTCCCAAATTAGCAAGGCTCAATATATATATAAAAAAAATGCGGAAACTGCTTCTAAACTTGTATTATGTTATTATAATCTCATTATAAAATTTCAGTTTATTTTTAGTCTATTATATAGTCAAACATGGTACTAGGTTACCATTTATAGTTTATATAACTCAAATCGACAAGCTATTTAACTGTACCACAGGAAGGGTATGGTCACAATAATACAATGCATGTTAACTATTCTAGCAAGCTACCGTACATAAAACCAATTTTAAAATGCTTACATCTTGACTCGAAGATATAAAAACCAAAGTGTTAATATATCTACCTTTTTGAAATACAAAAAAAATACACAGGATAATTTTAAATAAACAGAAAGTATGCTGGACTTCTTTACAAGGAGGAGTTATTAAGAACAGTTTAGTCTTTAATTGAAAACAGGTTTACAAGCATCATTTGAAGCAGGATTTTCTTATACTAGATATATCTTGTCTAAGATGTTACTATACAATAAATTTATTATATATTATTAAAAACTTGTTAGAGCAAGTTTGATTGTTAGTAATACAAAAGCTGGTTAATCTTGTTAGTAACAGATGAAAGAAGACATTGCTTATAGTGACAAATCGGGACAAAGCAATACGTGCACACAGACACAACAAGAGTTCTAGTGTTGATAAAAACTTTATTAATACTGTCAGAAATGAGACTATCTGCGAGATACATAATGAAACGTAGAGACAATGTTATGATTTACTTAAAAAAATTAACAAAGATTCACACTTGTTCAGTTGTCAATGATAAATCTGGATATTTTTGCATTAAGAAGTACTGTATCTTTTCTATGGATAAAACAGTGCAGAATTACCAACACCGATACTGTTTATGAACACTAGGAAAAGTAATCCTCATTACACCATAGTATCTAGTTACGGACTGGTGTAAGTTTAATACGATAGCAGATACCTAGTGGTACTGGTTTTCACACCATTACTAAATATGGTCAGTTATTTTTAACCGGTTTAAAAGGGAGCTTCACCCCCAACCCCCCTCCTATTATCAAAATGAAACTAGATTTTAGGTCGTAATATATTTCTGGTCAGAAATAGGATTTCTAAAGTGTACAGAAAGCATACACAAAATACAGCATCTACACTGGCAAATTCGGACTTTCAGAAATGTGCAGGATTTGGTTTAATTCTAACCAAGTAGATTAAAAAAGACACCAGATTCAATGTGCAAAGGTAACAATGAATTTTTGACAGCAACAGAAAAAACAACAACACACAGATCAACATATATAAAAACTGACGATAACTTAAAATTTTGGGAATTAATCTAAATTTATTTGCTTTAAGATCTTTTTTGTTATTAAATAATAATGATATACATATATATCCGTGTGTATTTATGATATAAAACTGCATTTAATGTTATATTCTTCTTAAAACAAGCCATTAGTGCTTGCCAGTACTAGCTGTGTTGTAAAATGATTTACCCACAAGAAGAGTTAAGCCTAAACAAAATGGCAGAATGAATAACTTTGTGGATTTCCAGTCATTTTTACTTGCAGAACGAGTTCTTTACACCAGTATTCCTAATGTTAGGAACAGAGAAAACATTTACAAGTCGCACAGTCTAAGGCAATGCATTTCAAAAGAAAAGCTCAAAAGTGTACTAAACTTCTAATTTTACTAGCTTATTACTTAGAAATTAAAGTTTTACTTAATGCCATGAAGTTAATGCTAGTCACAACTATGTACAATGGAAAATGACACATTTTTTCATATCTGTTCTATGTATAAAATTATGGAGCCCCTAAAACCAAAAATGTTAATAGAAACTCTTTCTAGTCTTACACATTAACATAAATGTTAATAGCTCTTTCTAAACCTACACGTTAATATGGATTTAATGTTCACTTCATAAAAACTGGCTACCTAACAAAACACAACACTCACATGGTTAAGAGATCACAAAGAAGCACTTCAAATCTTGAATTAATGAAAACCTAACAAACAATGACTTTTCCCATGTCCAATTGTTTTATTCACCTAGTTAAATGAAAACCTGAAGAGAAATAACAGCTATTTTAAAACACTATCTATTGATTGTATACTGTTCAAAACATAAGTTAATCTACATCTGGTGAGAATAAAGGCTTAGCATTCAATCATCCAGTTTAGAGAACTCTAGCAAAGAAGTTCATGATTGGATCAAGTCATAAATTACATACAAGCTAGCTCAAAAACTCTTGAGATGGGTAAAAACAAAATCCACTTGTAGTGTACATTTTTTAGTATTCAACTACAGACATGGAGTTGTTAAAAGGATGAATATTACTCCAGACTTTGTGTACTCCAGACTTTTATATTCATCCTTTTAACAACTCCGTGTCTGTAGTTGAAAACTAAAAAAATGTAACCAACTAGTTTCAGTTTTGTGTATTGTAACCGATGCTTTAACTCCTGTACCCCAGACTTTTATATTCATCCTTTTAACAACTCCGTGTCTGTAGTTGAATACTAAAAAATGTAACCTACTAGTTTCAGTTTTGTGTATTGTAACCGATGCTTTAACTCCTGAAAAAATTTAACCTACTAGTTTCAGTTTTGTGTGTTGTAACCGATGCTTTAACTCCAATACTCAACTACAGACACGGAGTTGTTAAAAGGATGAATATCAAAGTCTGGAGTACAGGAGTTAAAGCATCGGTTACAATACACAAAACTGAAACTAGTTGGTTAAATTTTTTAGTATTCAACTACAGACACGGAGTTGTTAAAAGGATGAATATCAAAGTCTGGAGTACAGGAGTTAAAGCATCGGTTACAATACACAAAACTGAAACTAATAGGTTACATTTTTTAGTATTCAACTACAGACACGGAGTTGTTAAAAGGATGAATATCAAAGTCTGGAGTACAGGAGTTAAAGCATCGGTTACAATACACAAAACTGAAACTAATAGGTTACATTTTTTAGTATTCAACTACAGACACGGAGTTGTTA